CGGCTAATGTTCTCCCGCAGTTCTGACACACATCCCAAAACTCCTTCAGGTCCATTAAACACGGCAATTCGGTGAATATATCTGTGTTTTCCAGATACGTGTTTAGAAGCAACGATAACGGCCAGTTCGCCCAATTTGTCGTTAAATTCTTCTTCAGGGCAGTCATAAGCGCTATAAGAGGTTGATATAACTGACCTAGATCCAATACTTCTAGTTGTTTTTCCACATGAGTTAACTCCATAGTCCTCTTCGTCAACAACGGACTCGGGGTTTTCGTTGTTAAAAATCGGTGATTTACTACGCTCATCATCAGAACCAAAGTCCATAATGGAAACGTCTTCGTCGTATCCGAAATCGGATTCATAGCCTGTATTATCTGAATACAGTCCTCTTTGTTCTCCGATATTTCCAAATTCATATTGTCCCGGCAATACGATATCAATTCTTTCAAAGTCATTTTCAATATTTTGTCGGTCAGTTGTTCCGGGTCCTCTTCGTTCGGCTTGTCTACTTTGGATTTTTTGTGCTGTGAGTCTACGAATTCGCTCCCCGATGAGCTTCTTTTCTTTTGCTCCGAGCGTATGTTCAGAAGTGTCTCTTCCATAGTCGATTCTTCGCATAATAGGTTGATAGACATTGTAAACTATATGCGCGTTATGTTTTATGGCTAGTAGTGTACTAATAAACATTTGTGAACGCTCCGTATTATATAGGAATAATTATTTGGAGTACGTGATGGCATTACGATGACATTTCATAAGTACTTCAGATTATATTCTCGGTAAAGTGTTTACGTCTAAAAAGTCACGTACGCACTTGAGATTAATTTATTTATAAGTGTTATATGTGTTATATGTGCTCTCTATTAAGATAAGAAAATTAAAAATAAAATATTCGACGACGACACAACGACATAGTGACCTTGAATTCGGACTTGTAATATATTCTATATTTTTTTTTTAGCTCAGAATCGGATTTTATTAGTGTTTGCTCAGAATTAGTATTTTGTTTGCATTCACTAAACTTTTTTAAGCTGGATACTTGCCCAAAATAAAAGATTCTCTTTTATTTTCGACGACGACATAACTACGACAAATTGACCTTGGAGGGGAATAGTACATCTTTCATTCGGGCGGCATATTTTTACCATGGTACCCCGGTGAACCCATTCACCGGGGTACCGGTAAAATGCCGGTAAAACCGGTCATTTTAAATGACCATAATAGTTTGTTAGCAGATTTTTTGAATGACTAGGAATAGTTGTATAAATTATGTTACTTGGCAAATATTTTCTCAAAAATGAATGAATTTAGCACATCTATATAAGGAAAACATAAGACAATATTTGATGCTAATGATAAAATTTTTGCGTTAAGGAAAAAAATAGCATTCTACATTGAAAGCGTCGACAAAAAAGACCTGACATGTTTTTCAATGACTTCAAACTTTTTACAAGAAAACAATTTAACAATGAATGAACCATTATTAGAAATAATTAAAGAACACCTTAATTATTTGCTTTAAAATTTGAATTTATACTTTCCAAAAGATGCTCAAGAATCAATTCGAAAAAACTATGAGTGGATCATAAATCCATTTTTAGTGACGTCAAAACCAGCAACTCTCAATGCAGTAGAATACGAGGTTCTTATTGATATGGTTTCGGATAACTGCTATCAGACATTATTTAAAAGCACACCAATATCTGAATTTTGGGCTCAATTAGGGGAATATCATTCAATATTAAGTTCAAAAGCTAAACTGCTTTTACTGCCTTTTGGTACTACGTATCTTTGTGAAACGGCTTTTTCAAGGTACACAGCTACAAAAACAAAATATCGAGCACGTTTGGATGCAGAAAACGATATGCGTCTTCAATTGACTTCTGTAACATTGGACATCGACAAACTCAGTAGTAAAAAGCAGGCCCATTGCTCACATTAAGATATTTTATAAATTTAAATTTAAATAATAAATGCAATAAATAAATTTTTGCAGTTCTTTTATTGCTATTGTTTCACCTGTATTCAAAAATATAATTTTATTTTGACTCTTGTATATATACAATTCGTGTTTATTATACTTCATAGAAGATAGAACATAGGCAGATAAAAATTAACGTTAAATATTTTATGGGGGCTCCACGAGAAACTTTTTTTTTAAAAAAGG